CCTGCCACAATGCCCAGCTATTTTGCTGTTGCAGTTTGGCCAGGGCTGGGTTTAAACCTGCCACCCTCAGTATATGGGGCTTGGCGCCCTGCTCACTGAGCCACAGGCGCCGCCCCACACATGAATTCTTAGGATCAAGTAGAAGCTTCCGGCTTTCTCAATTACATGCCCTTTAGCTGTAGACTATGCTTTCAATTCTACAAAGGGCTAGGCCCCTTTGCCTCGCCCTGGAGATGAGGCAGCTTAGCCAGTGGGGCTGTACCAACATTACACAAGGTCTGACAGTGAAGTTCACAAACTCGTCCTAGAAAAAGTGCTACAGACCTCCTTGCTGAATGCCGCTGCAGTCAGCTTTGAGGTACTTCCCTTGGGAACTATGCACCAGTGCCAGGGCTAGTCCACCCTTCCAAGTAATTTTGAAACACTCTTTCTGGAATGGCTGTCAGAGCTATCATCAGATGAGGTCAGACAATTAAGTTCGCAAACTCATCCTAGAAAAAGTGCTACATCTCTCACTGCTGAAAATCACTATGGTCTCCAGATGGCCAAGGGGAGGACTTCAAAAGTGACTGGAGTGACATGCAGCAAATGTAGCACTTGTCTAGGACAAGTTTTCAAACTTAACGGTCAGGCCTCGTGTGTAATGGGCAGCGTTGTTCAGAGTTCTGAGGGAATTCACGACAATTATATGCAAATTCTCCAACATCAGGATAGAAACTGCTTCCCCCGCGGTTTCCCTCTGTTGTGGAGCGGCACTTACTCAAAGGGCAGCTTCTCATCGTTTGGCTTGATGCATCGGACGTAGTGGGGAGTCGTCGCATTGAGGGTCTCCATGAGCAAGTACAGAGAGCTGCGGAACTACAAACAAGGCCAGAGATCAAATGCTGCTCTGAAATAATTTACTGCCTACAGCAAGGTAAGAAGTCCAAATTTGCTAAGTTACTCAATAAGAAGAAAGGTTAACCTTCTGCACCCATGTACGGTATAAAAGGCTTGAATCTGTGGCTGTGGTTTTTCAGCATGTCCTGCTGCCCTGGATGGACACTGCCCTGACCCACACTCCCAGAGAACTTAGTAAATCACGTTAACTACACAAAAGTGCGGTTTGGTCACTGTGTGCTGCCTTTGAGATCGTGGTATGACAACGATGACCTCTCTGCATTTATGTGCACATTAGATTTGAAGAGACCCAGGCCTGGGACAGGGGTCCCCTGAGGGCCTGGCTTCCGGCCTGGCCCTGCCTCTATCCCTGCAGACACTGTCCCCGTCCCTGCAGACATCTTCTCAGTACCTTGCTTCCCACTGTGGTCCGGAAATGCTTGCTATTTGGCTTGATAACTTGCTTTGCAGATTTAACTGTGATCATTGCACTGAAAGGAGAAGGCGGCACTGGATTTTCTTGAAAAAATTTGGCGCAGAGATGAAACTGGAAGGAACAGAGAGGATGTCAATGCCCCAGTGACTGCCCACGGTCCTCACTGGTGCAAACCAACCAGTCGCAACAACCCACTACATGAGGAGGGGGAAAGCAAAAATCTCAGCCAACATCTACAGCCAAATCTCAGTTATTCACTACAGATGTCCCAGAGATGAGAACAGGGAAAAAACCTGTCTGTAGGTGAGCATTGCTCTAAGCATCAGAAAAGTAGAGACATCTACTATTCCCACCTCCCGCCTTGGCTTGGACTCGTGTCTTCACTGGAATCTTCTCCACTGGCATCTCCTCCCTCCAACCCCACATTCTCATCCCTGCAGCTCCAAACCCTTCCCATGAAGCAAGATGCTGCTAAACTCTTTTCCAGCTCACCCCCTGTGCAATGAAAAAATTAACCTCAGAACTGTCTTGATGTTTTATTTGCAGTTCTTTTGAGACACTTTTAATTTTCTGCCCTGCATCAGTCATTTTTTTGATGTCTTATCTTTTCTCAAAGTGAGTCTCACATTTTATTCTTCAACATGGATCAAGGAAGAATCCTGCAGAATGCAAGCCCTGTATGCCCCTGGGGAACAAATGACTCTGAAATTCCATGAGGACGTGTGCTCAGTGGACAGACCCACCTGTTGCGGCAGCAATATCTGCCTTTGTCTTCCCTGGGATAAGCTTGGGGTTGAGCACGTCATTGGTAAATCAAGTCAAACAATTTCATACACAAGATGTGGGCCATTTCACCACTGAATGATCTATCCATAAACAGGTTTTAATAACTGAAGTTGTCATAGCCTGGGATTTATTTATGATCATTAGTGCAAGTGCCCATGGTCTATTTAGGAAATTGTTAAAAAACCTGAACATCAACAAAGGACTGGGATCTTTTAAAAGCAGGAAAATAAATACAGTAGAGCCTCCATAGTTGACCTCCCCACACTGACTACCTCCTTAAGTTGACCTAATTTTTATAGACCAGACATGCACCACATGTACATATCAGTTCAGCCAAGTTCCTTATGTTGATCAGTTTGTTACAGTCCCTTCCGTGGCCAAATTTCAGAGGTTCTACTATATAGAAACAAAATCATCACAAAAATGAAGGCTTATGCCTGAAATATTTTAAGCAATCAATGTAACCTGGTTCTTTGTACCCTCAATGAACCCCCAACAATAAAAAATAAATAAGAATAAATAAATAGGCCTAATTTTCAAGTTAAAAAAATTTAATAAAAAATTTTTTTAATAAAGTGGAGAAGAAAAAGCCACAAGTCATTCTTTTGTGACACTATTTACCATATAGAACTGTGGATTCAAGACCTTACATGTCCAAAGCGGTTCACTTTCCCTTGTCCCTCACTCTCTGCCTTGCTTTGCTTTTCCTCAAGAGTAAGGTGACCAGACATCCCGCTTTTGGCGGGACAGTCCCAATTTTTAACAATTTGTCCCACGTCCTGTGGCGTTTTAAAAAAGTCCCGATTTTTGGAAAGAATGCATGACAAGCTAGGGAATAGCGGGATAACAGGAAGGGAATATACAGCTTTCGGCTGCCATGTGGCTATTTCGCCAGGATATGGGTTTTATATTATTTTTGTTAATTTTATAATGTTAAACTTTAATAATAACAAATAATTGTTGAGAACTGATTATCGAGAACTGCTTATCAAAGTTCGCACTGTTGATCAGTTGCTAGAATTCAACAAGAAATATGCCAAAGAATAAAATAATACTATACATAATTTTAAATGTATTATATTTGTAAATTGTACTTATGTTGAAATTTAAAAAATATATTACAATACTATTTTTGCATTCTATGAAAATTTTTGTTGCCCCATATAGACCAAATTTTTCATTAAGAACCCCGCCCTCCTCAGTCAATGGTGTCCCGCTTTACCAATGTTAAAATCTGGTCACCTTACTCAAGAGCTCACTGGCACCTAACACTGCTTGCTTACACGGTTAAGGGAAGCCACTCTGTCTAGAACGTGAGCTCCACCAGGGAAGGGACCTGCCAGCTGTGTTCACTGCTGTATCCCCAACAAGCGTCCAGGGCATGGTAGGTGCTGTGTGAAGATGCAGGAATGAATGAGTAAAAAGTGAACTGTGAGTCTTCAGTGGTTGCATTAGTTGTCCTTCCTCTCTGTCATCTGCACATCTCACTTCTGATTTAAAATACAGTGTTTTCATGGGCGGCGCCTGTGGCTCAAGGAATAGGGCACTGGCCCCATATACCGGAGGTGATGGGTTCAAACTCGGTCCTGCCCCCCGCCAAAAAAATACAGTACTTTCAGATGCCAGAAAGTTATTCTAGTCCTAACTCCAAAATAGTTATTCTTTATGTCTATGAGCTGTAACTCACCACTGCCCAGAGAGTAGACACACACACACATTCTCTCCCATTCTTCCTAGTCTTTCCTGGCACCCGCCCAGCTCCAGGTCAGTTACATAAGGAATACCACAATCACCCCTCGGGACTTGACACACCTTGCTTGCTCTCAGGATTTCAACCAGAATGTCATAGACAGTGTCTCTGTTCTTCTCAAGGAAGCCTTCACATTTGTACTCTACCTACACAAAGAAAGGGATTAATTATTCCAAAAGAGGCCAAAGAAGACAGCATCTAAGTACAAGTTTCATTTGTTTTTTAAGGGGGATTAACAAAGAGGCTATAAAGGCAATTACACAAAAGGGGGTTAGGCTTCTGATTGTCACAGCAACCCCGTTACACGTAAGCTTGGAAAGCTGGGACGAGTCTCCGGCTGCCTGCTGCCTGCCCCGCACCCACCTGTCCGTTCCCTGCAGTGTGTGCAGTTCACAAGGCCCCCTTTGCCTTTGAGGCCACCAGGAGGAGGAAAAACTCAATGGTGTTCATTGGGTTCAAACAAATGGTTCCCTACCCCAGCATTAATACGGTAGAAAAGAAAGAAAAAACTGGGGTGGCACCTGTG